TGGTTTTCTGTCTACCTTATAACGACTACAAACAAATGAAAGACGACCATGTCTACAGAGCATGTTGTTTTTTGCCGTAGTGGTAGAAGCCTTGAGGGAAATGCAACCTGTCATGTTGTTACATGCGGTTGAGTCCAAACAGGTGCATCGGAGCACCTCGCGTACCACTTTAAAATAGAATATCTTCAAAAGTCGCAAAAAGTTGCAGGCTTTTGGAAAATATAAAAGCTAAAGCGGAAATCAACGGGAATATATATTTTCTTTGCGTGTGAAAAAATAACGCAAATCTTAAACGAATTTTACTTGACATTTGGAGCTTTTTCAGACTTTAAAAGTGAACAGGTTATGAATCTTATTTTCATAAAATACAGTTTGTAAACAACATCCAAGCCAATTTCCATGGCGTTATCTTCTGCATAGTGACCATGTCAGTAAGTTAAATTAGACGTCAAATTTTATAACTCACGTCAGAAATGTTGTATTTTTAGTAAATAAATCAGAATATCGCCCGCGGTAAAGATTTCTGGTCGTTAATTTGTGCATGTAAAGTACCCCTGGACCATTGGAAACCAAAAAAAAAAAAACCACAGCATTGATTTTTGAACCAATCACATTTCACCTAATTTGGTGCAGTTTGACCTTGAACTGGCCCACTGTGCGCTGGTGCCACTGAAAGCTGAACTTTAATTAGTGTATGTGCCATTGTACATTCTCAATCAAAATCTAAACATGCATGACTGTGTTAATGCGCAATTACGGTAAGCCTTCTTGATAAATACAGGGAATAGGGTCCTATACAATTGTTGTACTGCCATATGTGTAAGACCGGACCCTACCTATCATAACAGTAGCAGGTGGTATCTGTAATGCTCTGTTAACAAACACGTACATGTACTGTACATGAACTTTCAGCCAATCGTTGTGTTGGACAAGCAGAAGCAGGGTGCTCTGTGAATTGACAGTACAAACACTAACAACATGCAGAGTCAGTATACTGCACACAATGTACCATGTGCCATGGTGTGATGCCCTCTGTGGGCAAAGCATTGTGCCATTCATAGTTAAGAAAAAGTTTACACCAACCATTGCAGCTTCATCCACAGCACAGGTGTCTTGTTAATGGGGAACCAGGCCAGATCATCTTTTCCAGTACACTACTGTTCTTCTGCATGTGCAACCAATGTGTGAAGATTCTTGCACACAAGTTGGGAAACATATCAAAGAGTGTCAGCTTTCATAGGCTTGCACTTCTTGTTCTTAGCACCATCACCTATCACTGCGTCAGAACAATGTAGATCACCTGTCTGGGAATTCGGTGACAGGTGCAGTAGTTGATGTACGTTGGAGGAAGGGTGTGAACAACAGCTAGTGAGGCAGCGTCTGTGTGGGGTACAAATGATGGCATCTAAGTCGGGATGTCTGGCAGACTGCAAGACTGTAGTAGTTGTGATGAAGGGATGAAAATTGAACACAAAGACCATGAAGAGATGCCAAAAAGTTGCGAACTTGGAGCCAGCACTGTGCCTAGTCACGTTGACAGCATGTGGTAATGCAGTCCAACATCTTGATGAACACTTTTTGCGAGCAAGCTAGCCCACATGCCATGACCAACCACGCAGCGGCGAGAATCTTCTCTGCAAAAGCATTAAGGTGATGACACTGCGTCTGAAGAAGCACGGCCGTACGTGATGTACACTTGACAAACCGTTTGTGCATTTAGTTGTGACATGGCGGCCACCGCTTACCTCTCCAGACAAACACAAACCCTGAAATGTCACCCTGTCAGTCTGTGGACATTTTACACGTATATAGGTACCGGTACATGTACATGTACCAGTGGTGTGGGACACCCCTACCCTCCCCCCCGCCAAAAAAAACCCTGAAAACCAAGGAAACACTCACGCAAGCTAGACACACATGGTTAACACGGTTAACTGACAGGCATGAAGTTTTTTTAAATGATCTAAATTTCTTATTCACCACAGTTGTGGTTGACCGACAGGCTTTTCCATCAACCACATGTACCAAAGACAAAGCAGCCTGATTCGAATTTCCCACTTGCTTTGGGGAGCATCTCATGGCCTTTGTTTGAACCCTTAGGATGTAAATACATGTACATGTAGGTGAATAGAAATCTCAGTCCAGTACTAACATGTGTTCTGGGAATTAATACATTTATTAACCTTAAACTTTTAT